TAACATGGATTTAGCATCAGCCTGTCTGAAACTGAGCTGTCGTCTCTCAGACCAGGACTCGTCTCTGGGCTCTGGTGCTCGGCAGGACTCTGCGGTGGGGTCAGGTCTCCCTCAGACTCTGCAGCAGGAGTTCTCTCTGGTCAACCTGCAGATCAGGAATGTCAACGTGGAGGTGAGACATGACTCTAGTCAAGCCGAAGGGACATTATAGAGTTTCAGCAGCCACATCACAGAACAAACAACAACACGACACTGAAGCTAGACTAAAGCTAAAACTACCCCGTAACATTCTGTAAAACGGTTGGTGCACATACTGTTTACCGCACTGGTAGGAACACCAATGTCACACTAAGTCAGTCTAATGCAGCAGTCCTGCAGTAGATCCGTCTTCCTGAAGGTGTTCAGACGGTTTCAGAGAGCTGCCGGATCGGTGTGATCACCGTGGAGGCTGGAGTGCAACAGATTTGAAAAATGGAACAACCTTTACATTGATTCTGCTGCTGTGATCTGCTGTAATCAGACGGATCTCAGGGTCTTCATTCTTCTGGATTTTTGTGTCTGTAGTATAAATGACATCTCACAGCCATGTCACGACTTTTATTACTAATTCAGTATTTAATGAAAACTGTTTTCACATATGTGCTCTGTGATGAAAATATACATGGAACTGCACCAGATAAAAGAAGTGGAAACTGAATAACAGGCTGATATTAGGACAAAAGTTACTATGTGTTGAAGGAGGTTGCGCTCAGAGACTGTCTCTTTGTTCTGTGCAGATGGACGCCGTGAACCGCAGCTGTGTGGTGTCTGCCCACTTTGGCAGCCGCCAGGTTCACCTGGTGGTCAAATTTCCTGCCCATTACCCCAACAACGCCGCCCCCACCTTCCAGTTTGTTTCCCCGACCACCATCCCCTCCGCCATGAAGACCAAGATACAGAAGGTACCGATGCTCCTGAGCACACCGCAACACATTATAAACCTCACTGAGTGATTGCTCACAGGTATGTGGGTCAGCGTTTTGATCAGTACTGGGACAAAACTCTATATGATCCTCAAAATACAACACACCTGTACAGAATTATGGCATTTACACAGTCTGATCATGTTTGTTAAATATGATAATTAGCTGCTGATTTTAAATGGTTAAAACATTTGACTTCACATCCAGTTTTTACATACATTATCAATGGTCATCAGTTATATCTGTCTGCTGGGTGTCCACATGTTCAGTCATTCAGTTTTCACTGGATTTTTTAAAACTCAAATCACACAGTTCTGAGTCTGTGTGATGTGGATATAACTGCTGCTTTTTGTTATACACTGTTGGATTCTCAGTTTTCCACAATATATGGTGCATCCCGTCAGTGTCTGAGTGTTGGGGGGCTCCTCCCAGAATCCAGGAACTTATTTTGTTGTTGGTTCTGTAAAAGCAGAGGCTGAAACCAGCGAAGATGAGCAGATGTAACATGCCCTGTATTTTTTTCCTGTCTGTTCAGATCCTGACTGACACGTCTCTTCAGAAGGTGAAGAGGAACCAGAACTGTCTGGAGCCGTGTGTCCGACAACTGGTGTCCTGCCTAGAGTCGGATATGGTGAGGACATATGCACACTCACGTTTGTTGTTTCAGCTTTGTGAGGACCCTCGCTAATATAACACTGAAATGTCCTCACAGTGTAGAAGTGTCCTCACTGTGATGGTTTAAACCTGAAATTGTTCCTCACAAAGATTAAAATGCATGATCAGAACAAAGAACTCATACAGATATACAAACCTTCATGTAGACTACAACTCTTAAGGTGGGTCTGTCAGTCAGTGGGCCCAGACCCCCGCTCTTTCACACACTCTTCTTCTCCACATTTATTTTTATGTGTCATTACTGGCAGGAATCAAAGTGCTTTCATGCCAACTGATTACTGCCCATGGGTAGGGTAGTGTTTCGAGCCAAAGGCTGATTCCTTAGGGACAAGGTACAAATAATTCAGACTGATGGCCACAACTTTCAGTTGTTCAAAGAGAAATAAAATGTGAGAGAATACTAAGAAATAAAAAGAGAAATAAAAATGTGAGCAGGGAACCGGCGTCCCTTCACACATGTAAATGAAACCCACGCTTTCTCAGTTTACACAGAGTGCACATTAGCGTTCTGATCCCACCACTCTGGCTTCACAACATCTGTGTCTGTGTGCCCTTTCTCAGACCCAGGAGGACGGTCCGGCCTCAGGACCCTTCGTCCTGTCTAACCCCGTCACTCCGGCCCTGCAGGCCTTCCCTCGAGGAACCAACACATACGGCTCCTATCAGGTAGCACAACAACAACATATTTTAATTTGTATGAAATTCAGTCTTTAATTGTATCAGTCATTACACACCTCATTGTTTGTGAATTTGTGAAGTGGCTCCTGCAACAAGCTAATTTCCTTTGGGATTGATATCCATCCATCCATCTATCGATTGAAAAATGACCTTGGCTGTCCAGATCAGTATTTTTGAACAGTATATAAAAAGAGTGTAGTTTATATATGTGTGTAATTTGAGTTACAGATGAGCGTTGAGTGTTGTTAGAGTGGGTTCCTAAGTTTGTCCCCCACCTGATCTGTTTTCTTCCAGGATGCCAACATCCCGTTCCCTCGGACCTCAGGTGCTCGTTTCTGTGGCACCGGCTGCCTTGTCTACTTCACCCGACCAATCACCATGCACCGCTCAGTACCGCCCACTGAGCCCACTCCTCGGTAAAAAAAAAAAAAAACACCTCAGAGGTTTGTTAGAGAGATGAGGTGAAACATCCAGGAGTAAGAAAACGGAAACTTTAATCTCCTTGCTGATAGAAACTGGTGTGTAGCTAGATACATACATGCATGTTGGCCACATTACTGAGACAAGTTTTCCTCTCTTGATGGCGCTTGGCCAACAGCCGGTCCCTGCTTCCAGTCTTTGTGCTAAGCTAAGCTAAAGATAACTATGCACTGGACGCTGGACACTTAGCTGTGATGGTTACAGTTAGGGTAAGGAGCTAGGGGATGCATGATCTCAGTGAGGGTCCTCACAAAGATAGAAAGACTAAAAGCAGGTCCTCATAATGTAAATCATTACATTTTAGAGTGAAGACTTTGTTTAAGGTTATGATACATCTCCAGGAAATGACTGTAAGTCACTGTGATGTCCTCTGAAGTGATGGAAGCACGATTGTGTTTGTGTTCAGGTCTCTGTCAGCACTGTCGGCCTATCACAGCGGTGTGCTGACTCCGATGAAGATGCGTTCAGAGTCTCAGAGCACTCTGCGTCTGTATAGTGGCAGCCCAACTCGCTCCGACAAAGACACCGTCTCCATCTCCTCCTTTTATTATAAAGAACGGGTGAGACACACACACAGCCTTAAATCACACTCTGTGGTCAGCTTCTCATCCAGCTGACTAAATAACAGAATATGTTGCTGGTGTGCACAGACTGACCTTTTGTCCCATTAAACCTTTGTTTCTCTCCAAAGTGTAAGGAGGTTCGGATAATACCAAACTAGTGAGGGTGCACAAAGCCAGTCCTGTTTAAGTGAAGCTGTGAGAGCTCAGAACAAGTGGAGACCAGTACAGCTGTGACGAATGGTTTTAGCTGATCATAAGCCTGACATCTGTACAGTCACAGCTATCAGATGAGCACCTGATCGACCTCACCTGAACATCGGACATATCCGATTCCAGACAGAGAATCGGTCAGATTTGACAGGCTAAATCTTTAGTCAGAGCTCAGCTGTGTCGTCCTGGTGTTTTCTCTTTTTTAAACAGGACAACAGAGTACAAAAAGGAAATGTGTAAACTTTACAACAACTGTGTCAAATTGGCAGAACGAATCCAGGAACAGCCATAGTCCCCCATAGTGCCCTGAAGGGCCCCCCCAACCTGTGAGCCTCCTTCCGTGTGCAGTGTAAGGAGTACTTCACTGTACCGGTCCCATCAGAGTGGAGTGTCCGGGAACAGAACCACACACAGAGACACATGGGAGAAGAAGACTGGCATTTCAATATTTTATGTCTGAGGTACAAGATGGGCGTCTCTGCCAAATGTTCCATCAGCCGTCTGGCACATGCAAATAAGAGAATCTTCACCTCCTTTACGTTTGTCGCAGCCAGGACTCATGTCTGGGTCGGTGTGGCTGTGAGGTTTACCTGGTCGTCATCTCACAGTGTGACATTTACATCCTGCTCCCAGGCACTTCAGTCTGGTTGTTTTCTACCTGGTGTTTCCTGTGTCCCCTGTCTCTTCTTGATCTTCCTGACAGCCATTTGTTTTTACTTTGTTTTTCTCTGTGTTGTTTTTCTTCGACCAATCACCTGCCCCCATGCTGTTGTGGGCCACTCCTCCTTCTTGCTCTCCTCCAATCAGAAGCTCCCAGTCTCTGCCTCCCGACGCTGGTCTGTTCAAACCCTCCATGACTGGCCGGTACTGAGCCTCTGTACATCCATCCATTTATCTGTGTCCCTCCTCGCCCTCCTCTGGGGTTTTAACATTAACGCCGTTTGCATTGTCACTGATTGGCTGACGTCTTCTCGACTAACTACAGTCAGAGCACATTCCTTAACTTCATTTGTGACTCTAATCACTAACCATGCCCAACTCATCCTCGGCTTTCCGTCGGTGTTTCGACCGCTTATTGTTCACTAACATGTAACAGCTCCAGGGAAGCTTCTGTGAATTTACTCTGTTTTCACTAATTTTTTAAGCTACTGTTGAGGTAATTTGGCTGCTCCGGCTACATAGTGTTGTTAGAAACCCAAACACTAACCATGTGTTCGCAATGCGAGGAGTGCTCAGAGACAAGTCGACTGTTCCACTGGTGAGTCACAGTCAGTCATTCATCTACACTTCAGGTGTATAAGTCAAATGTGCAGGCAGCCGGCCAAATGACATGAACCTCTTTGTTCCTTGTGAAGTTTGTCTATGCTAGCAGGTCAGGAATCCCAGTTTGACTGTGTGAACTTAAAGCTTCAGTGGAGGGAAAATTAAACTGCTATTAAACTCAGTTTTTCCCCTGTATACTTTTGATAGTAAAAACTCTTTGTGCCTTGAACAGATTGAGTGTGCTTGTGGCTTTCAGTTGAAGACAGTTTGTCCTTTCAGCTCTGCTCTGACGCTGCTGAAAGGTCAGGAAGGTCACTGCTGCCAAAGTAAAGCCTCACGCGTTAAAGGCCAAGTTTTAACAAAATTTACAGAAAATATTCCTGGTCCCTAAAGGATGAACCGTAATGAACTCTGGGACCCTCTGGCTCTTTGTTTTGGTCTGGGAAGTGGACAGTTTATCCCAAAAGTTCAGAGTGGTACCATTAGGTCACAGATGTATGTAAGATTTATGAAGACTACTGTACTATAGTTTCCCTTGAAACTGATGTTCCTGCAGAGTAGTAGCCTGCTCGAGGAAACAACCTGGCCTCATCACTTTCAGTCAGCGTCTTGCAGTGTGAACAGTCTGTAATTCATCATCCAGACAACTTTTAATGGGGTGATGCTTTATCTCCTCTGGACCCGTCCTCTCCCTCCTCCCCCTGTCCGTTTGTCTGTCCTTCAGAAATCCCGCCGGTTTAAGACGAAGCGAGAGGGGACGGACTACGTGAACCGTCCGATCAAACTGGCCGGGAAAGTGATCATCCAGGAAATCTCCTGTCTGCTGCCTGTCCACAAAGCTCTGGGAGAGAACTACATGTGAGAGACCAGTCTGGAAACAAATCCACAGATAATTCACTGCTTTATCTTTTTTCAAGCTAAATTAGAAAACCAATTGCCCAGTCAACTTTGTGTGTGAACGGGCCTACCGGGCACGGGCACGGGGCCCGAGGGCTAAGGGGGCCCTGGGAGCTCGCCTGCAGATTATCCCAGAAAGGGAAATGTCACACAAAACATCTGCAAACTGACACAAAATGACTACAGCGAGACTCAAAAGGACCAAAAAGAGATTTAAAGTAACTACAAAGTAATGCCCAGTGTCCTTAAAGAGACTCAAAACAAATGCAGGGAAACTTAATGACCACAAAGATGCAGAAACACCTTTAAAGAGAAACTCTTGGTCTAGGAGGGTGGGGGGCCTTTGACTTGTCTGTGCCCAGCTGCCCGTTGTGTCATAATCTGTCCACATGAATACATCACCTCAGACTGAGAGGAATTATAACACATTCTGACATTTTATGGACCAAAGATTAATTTGATTAATCAGGAAAAGTCAAGAATAAAAAATGTTAAATGCAGCTCTGGCTAATTTTCCTTAGACTGAAAATCTAAAATCTTTATCAAGACAATTAACTAAATGCTCACCAGGTGAAAACTTGCTAAAAGATTTCAAACAGAAATAAGTCTTTTCAGGAATTTCCCACCCAATTAAATGTTCAACTCGCACAATTGCTGAAAAAAAAGAAATCACTGTTCTCTCTAGATGTCCTCTCTAGATAAATGTCCCTCAGGAGCGTTCAGCTGCTAAATGGCACAGGAGCAGTTATTTGCAGTCATGTATTTACTCTCAGTGTGAACAGATAGTAACTGCTTCTTCTGTTCAGTCTGAACATGAACGACATCCAGGAAACGTGTCAGAAGAACGCAGCTGCAGCGCTCGCAGTCGGACGCAGAGACGTAGCTAAGGTAACGGTTTTCTCTCTAGAAAAATGTATAGTCGCCTTCCTCTTTTCCTCCTATTACAACCCCTCTGTTTGTGCAGGTGTGGGCTCTGGCGTCTGCAGCCACCAGGCAGGACCTGAGTCCAGATTCAGACCCAGACACAGAGACTCCCTGGGCCAGACACCCGTTTGGACGCCTCCTGCTGGAGACTCTGTGAGTTTGTTTCCTCAGTCACAGTTTAATGAGAGTGAGTTGCCAGTAAACCTCCAGTGCTCCTAAGGCCTGTGATGTGAATGTAGCCTGAGAGCAGATGTGTGATTCAAAGCAGCGGTACCATAATAGGATTCTATTTTATAGTACGCACAAGATCCACCTACGCACCATGAGAAAAACTGTTTCTAAACTCATTCTGACGGGATCTTTTAATGTTAAAACAACATTTTCTTGTAATTTTGACATGCTGTATTTTTGTCGTTGCACGTGTCCAGCGACCTTATGGGCACTGACAGCAGGTAAAGTCAGTGTGTGTGCTGCTGAGTGACAGCAGCATGTTAGGGAGAAGGCTGTACGATCCGCTCTCTCGGTGTGTGATATCGTATTAGATACAGATCCTCAGCCTGTAAATTTGACTCTGTATTTCTGTATAGGCTATAGCCTGTACTATATGTTGATCATGCAGTGATACAAAGTCTGTGTCAATGTTAAAACTGGAGCCTCATTTATCAAATGTTCACTCCGGAAATGTCCGTATGAACAGGAGCATTTGTATTTATCAAAGTAACACTTGTACAACTTTGCACACTGAACAATGATCAGTCTCACCTGTTCAATCTGCTCGTGCACGTATGGGCTCATTTACACACAGAAACATGTCCACAGTCCTGCAAGTCTTCATGTGCAGAGTTACTGTTTGGACAAACAAGAAAAGCAACACTGAAAAACAACAGTGAGGTTCAGATACTGCAGCTTTAAAACAGACCTGGATCTTGGGAGCATTTCCCATCATGCACTGCACCCATGGACACAGGCTCTTTTCTCCTGCCTTCGTACTGGTGTTACTGAGACAATCTACAACATCCACAGCCCGCTGGTGTCGTTCACACAGTCAATACGAGTGATGTGCTGTGTTCGAATCCTTGTCCAGACAGTGTGGGGACAGGTGACTGACTTCACCTGATGGTCAGGTAAAAGATCTGCAGAACGCTGAAAAGATATGTGGAACAAACCCCTTCAGTGCAGCTGACAGAGTAGGAATTAGTTAGAATTAGCTGTTTAATTGTTTAAGTTTTGCACAGTTTAATCAGAACAGAGAAGTTAAAATGACAGAAACACTTCACTGTTAATGAGACCAAATGTTACGGACCTCCACTTCAGCTGCCTGGTGCTCTACTAGAGAAACATGAATGCTTCACTTACTCTGAAAGGAATGCCTAGCTTGTTTTCCAAATAAAAACAGAATTGCAGGAATAGATTTGTCCACAATTAACTGTGCCCGGCTGAGGATTTGTGGGCACACCTGGGCAGGAGAAGTTCTGTGTGTATATTTTCAAGCACAAGAAGAAGTGACAGATCAGATTCTGTGCACAGAAATGTTGATGAGTGAGGCTCCAGGTCTTTATACATTTACTGAGGAGCTGTGATAGCTAAATGTTCAGAGTCCAGACTAAACTGTTTCTGGGTCAAACCCTTCAGCCTGGATCACTACAGCCAGATGAGTGATGTTCAGACTCTGGCCATGCTGTGCAGTGTGTTCAGGGCTCAGGCTCCGCCTCCAGACTCCTGCTCCCTGTATGGACACCACCCATCGCGCTCCGCCATGTTCCCCCCACACCACTCACGATACGTAAGTCTTCTGCTGTGTAACCTATTGAAAAGGTCTCTTCCTAGTTCTGGTTCTAGTACAGAGACAGCGCCGGGACATGATCAGCCTAGCTTAGCACAAAGGGGGGGAAGCAGGGGAAAATGGTTAGTCTAACTCGGTCTAAAGAGAAAGAATCCACTTTGCAAAAACAGCTTGGACTCGGATCACTGAGATGTGGCTTGAACCAGTTACATGCAGTGGCATCAAAACCCACAGGATGCAGCTGGTTTAACAAAATGTTGTGATCATCAGTACCACGCTGCCTAGTGTTAAGTTAAAGGCAGCTGAACACAGCAGCAGGAAGTGATGTCCTGTGTCTGTTGTTGTCTCAGCCCAGCTACACCTCCAGCTCCCTCACCTCAGGCTCCTGCTCCAGCACCTCAGACTCCATCACTACAACCACCTGGAACACAGGTGAGTCTCCAGGGCTCCACACGTAGGCCAGCACATTTACTACCTGGTACCAGCAGATTTCTCCATTTATCATTATTGATGTTTATAGGCCGAGACACTGAGCACACCAACCCCTGGGGTGAACCTTCTCCTGATGACTATCGCTATGGAAACCAGGGTCACACTGATCCACGGGAAAGAGAGCGGGAGCAACACGACATGAACAAGAGGTGACATGGCGCCACCTCCTGGTCAGAGAGAGGCTGGTGGGAGAACTGGTGTAACTGGGTCACTAACAGAGCTCTGATGTCATTTCCTTTTCCTCCCCAGACTGCTGGACCCTGCCAACACGCTGCAGTTTGATGACTTTAAGAAGTGCTACGGTGAAATCTTGTACCGCTGGGGCCTGAGGGAGAAAAAAGCTGATGTGCTCAAGTTTGCCTCCTGTCCTCCTGAACCGCACAAAGGCATCGGTACGTTTTTCCACTGCTCACCCCAAAGCACTGAACCTCTGCTGTGTTTAAGGTTCGGATGCTGTGATCATGGTTTTTGTTCCTCAGCACTGTTACCACTCCCTGCATGTTTAGGCATGAGAGCTCATATTCACCAGCAATAGGAGGAAAAAAGGCATCAGACAAGAAAAAGTGCTTTCTGCTAACAAATGCAATGTGCCACATTTAATAAATGTTACTCTGCAGCTGTCAGTGTAACCTACTGTCTTTTATATAGGGGGAAACAAAAGAATGATTCTAGACACAGTGGAAGTGATACTGTAGAATACAAGGTGCAGGGTTTCTGCAGGTTCCCCGGGTTTTATGACCCTTTGTGAGAAAAGTGAGTTCAGTGGCTCTTAAGACTTTTCATGACCTGCAGATATGCTGAAACTCTGAATTATTATCAACATTTTGATTAACTCTCATAATTTTGACTTGTTGCTTAATTATTTCAACTTGTAAGATGCAGTCAAAGTACAGGGGCGGCTGTGGCTCAGGAGGTAGAGCGGGTCGTTTCCTAACCGGAGGATTAGCGGTTCGATTCCCGGCTTGTCCAGTCAACATGTCGAGGTGTCCTTGAGCAAGACACTGAACCCCCAGTTGCTCCCGGTGTTGTCACCGGTGTGTGAATGCGTGAGTGCTTGGGAGTGCGAATGGGTGAATGGCCGAATAATGTGAAAGCGCTTTGAGTGTGCTGTAAAAGCATAGAAAGGCGCTATACAAGTATAAGACCATTTACAGTAGCTGCTTATGAATGTGGTAAAACATTAGCACTTTTAGCGTTAACTCTGTGAAGTAGAACAGCGGTCTAAGCTACTGCCGTAGGGGAACCTCTGCTGACACATGGAAAGCTCTTGGAGTGAGCTGCCATTATGTTACAATAGTAAGTCAAATAAGTCTGACTTGTGTAAGTTAAAATGAACACCTCGAGCTCCTAAACTGCCACACATGCACAGATGTAACTGATATGTGAGCCACGTGCACACAATAATAACAACCAGGTGGTGTGTGTGACAGTCAAATGGCCCAGTTTTCTCTCAAACCGCTGGGTTACGATCTGTTCCTTCCAGTTTGGCTTGATCAGAAGCTTCTGCATAAACGTCGAGCACATGTGAAACGTGCTACTGTTGCTGACCCTAACCTCTGCTGCCTGCCTTCTCTCTGCAGAGTTCGGTGTATACTGCTGTCACTGTCGCAGTCAGGCTCGTGGGACCCAGTGTGCTGTCTGTAAACGTCTGACTTTCCAGTGCGCCATCTGTCACGTGGCCGTACGAGGCTCCTCCAACTTCTGCCTGAACTGTGGTCACGGGGGCCACACCAGTCACATGATGGATTGGTTTCGCCGGCAGGACGAGTGTCCGGCCCCAGCCACTGTCTCCTGCAGAGCACCTTCTGATGCGGTACAGATGCTCCGCAAACAAAACCCGATGCATCTCCTGACAGAACAGGGGTCTGATGTGTGACTGATCTGAGCTTCCATCGTGTGATCGCAGACATCTTTTAAAAAGCCCCAATGCAGACAGTGACGTCAGCCGATCCACATTGAGATCTCACATCAGGTACTTGAGAAACTGGCATCAGATTTCCTGGGGACATTGAAGGTCTCCATGGGACAGCTGCCTCCTGACCGCCTCTCCTCTAGTGGTGCCCTCAGGACAAACATGAATGTCATAGAGCCTGGCACTGGCGCACACAGCTTTTGTCTTTCAGGCAGCTGACCTGTTTAGCTGTCAGTCATCCTAAAGAGTCGACATCATGAGGTTCAGGTGACCGTCACTGCCCTGACACTGATGTTTGGTTACAGCACACACTATGAAACTGGGGCTTTATGTTCCTCATGCAGTGACATCATGGGTACTGGATATAACCTCATATTGCCAATGACTTGTTGCAGGGCACAAACATTATCACAGGACTGTTCTTAAAAACACTTGAACTAAATGAATAACTTGCTGAATACACTGTCAAGAAAAGGGAGACTGTGTGCATAGATTAACTTGTACTGTACTGTAAATAACAGTAAAATAAGTTTGAGTTCAGTAAAATACAGTTTAAGACCTAAAGAGAAAAAACACTTCAAAATTTCACTAAAACTGCAAAGATTACAGAAAATAACAAAGACTGTGTCTTATCATCTTTCCTCTCCATCCCTCGGATTTATCTGGTGACCCTCTCAGCTAACCTGTAGCTGTATATAAAGTAGTCAAAACCATCTCCAACAGGAACATGCTGCTGAAGCTGTGATCACTGAGCAGTTATATGGTCCCATATCCCTGTCTCCTGCTGTTCTTTGTGCAGTCACCACAGACAAAAACCCATGACAGCATGTTATGCAGTTGTGTCTGTGCAGTAATGCTACTTTCTAAAACCTATTACCTCCCCCACAGAGCTCAGACTTGGCACAAAGTTCACACCTTTGCACATCAACTCTGAAACTGTCATGTGCTGCTAGTTTCTATGTGCATTCTAAAATTCCTTTACTGGGTTGTGCAGCACTTCATGGCCTGGCACCAGCCTGCTAATCTGATATGCTGGTCCAGCATGGCTGCCTCAGCTCCTCTGACACTTTGAATCTTTTTGTTGCTCCAAAGTGCAGAACAGAAACTGCTGCTGAAGCAGCTTTTCATGCTCAGTCCCGTCTCCTCCATTCCTCCTGACTTTGTTTTTCCATTTCTACTTCCCCTTTCCTTCCACACAACAAACAACTGAAATGAGTCAGTAAGAAGCCAAACTTCAAGACTCGGTGACACATTTTATTATTTAAAACCAGAACACAGCGCAAAGTGTAAAATGAGTTCAGGTAAAGGTGTTATTTTCCTCACAGAGGACAAACTCGCTGCTACCATCTCTGGTGTGACCGGACACTCTTCAGTCTGCAGGGAGAGGACACAGACATGGGTGAGAAAAGACCAGTGCGCCCCACTTTATTTGATGATGTTACACTCCAACAGAACATGACTTGACCTCTGACCTTTTCAGCAGCTCCTCTGTTGACACCTGTCCATCTTCTGCGTCGCTGTCCTCTGAGCTGCTGTCTGGCACCTCCTTCCTACTCTTCTGCTGCTTCCCTTTGTGTTTCTTTTGTTTCTTCTTCTACAGAAAAATCACAAAATGAAGTCAGAGAAGAAGAACTGAACCCACGGTCAGAACAATGAACCATTTATTAAACAAGAACAACTTTTAGATCTTATTTTTCTACCTTCTTGTGTTTGTGCTGCTTCTTGTTCTTGTGTTTCTTGTCTTTGCTGCTCTTGCTGGGTTTCTGCTCGTCCCTGGGGGAAAAGAGGGAGGTGGCGCCTCCTCTGACTGAACAAAAGAAAAGCAGGAGGAGTTTAGCCGCCCTCTGCTAGCTATGCTATTAAAGAAATGGCTATAAAACATGTAGTGACACCACAGCCTCAGAGAACATCGTGGCCTGGTGATGTTCTGTATTTTCCTTGTCATCAAATGTGCAGGTCCAAGCCAACATTTAATGTCAGACTTTGTGACTGTAGCAAAGTCTCATATATTAGCAGAGACAAATAAGAGACATTGATCTAACAAAAACGTGACTCCCTGCCGTGTTTTAACGCTCAGTCCAGTGCCATCTGCTACTTATCAGACATATTCTCGATTAGAAGCAGCTGTAAACAGCAGCTGTGCTGAATGAGAGGTGTTTTGTTTACAGCTTATACTTATGCGTTCTAGCTCTTCTTTCCTTTCTGAATGGTGAATACAGAAACCGCCACCTGCTGGTAGGGGGAGTTATTTCTGTCACACAGCGGCAGAACGCATGTGCTAGTCGGCTGCTGGCCGTCAAACAATGTGTTCAAGTGTCACAGTTTCAACCTGGCTGACCCGGACAAAGCCGACACGAAAGAACCGGCAGCGACGGAGGCCGACTGCTACTTCGCCTCATGTCAGCTTGGTGTGTGAAGTGAATTGAACCTGCAGTGTGGCGGCTGGACTCACTGAGAGCAGCTGCAGGAGGAGGCAGCTTTGGACCAAACTCCTCCGGGTCCTGTGTCGAAGTAGGAGACAAAACCTCTGCTTTAAATAAACAGAAGAAAGATGTGAAGAGTTAGAATCAATCATGTCTACATTACCATCACATTGTATTACATTTGGCAGCTGTTTTGTCCAAATGTAATGTATTCAGCAGATCAAATGAAAAGTTAAGTGCAAATAATTATGCATGATTATCTTAGTTTTTCTCCTGCCCTTAAACTGTATTTCCGCTAGAGGAACAAAAAGGTGTTGGTTGTTGTTACCCGTCTGCCGGCTGGATGTGGTGGTAGAGGAGGTTATGGTTGAGGTGGCAGTGACGTTGAAGAGGTTCACTGGCTGCAAGTTGACTGTCCCCTCCTCTTCTTCCTTTGAGTCCTTTTTGTCCTCCTCATCCTCGCCCTCTCCCTCTGATGAAGAGGACTTCTCATCAGAAGAGCTGGCAAAGATGGCTTTAAACAGATCCATGGGAGGCCTGCTCTCCTCCTCTTCCCCCTCTTCTTCATCTCCTTCTTTCTTTTGGTCTGAGCTCTGCTGCTTCCCTGCCTTTATGTAGAGAACACAGGTGGGATTGTAGATTAGTTGTGTCGTGACAAGAATCTCAGGATGTACTGGCCAGGTTCTCATGTAATGTCCAGAGCACGTTCCATCCCTGCAGAGGACGAACGAACCTTTTGGACTTTAAACAACTCAGTGGATTTAGCCTGAATACGCTACCTCAGTTCTGTTGTCTGGAGTTTGAGGGTTGGTGCTGGTGGAGACAGGTGAGGCAGGCAGAACAGGTCCAGAGGTTGGACCCAGTTTGGTCTCAGATGTCTGGCTTCGTGCAGCACTGAGCAGCTCACTCGGCGGGCCATTCCTCCTCTTCTCCTCCTGCTTCTGGTCTGAAACGTCCCACCTAGACTTTTTCCTGGGCTCTGGAGGAGCTGAGGAGAGGAAGAGGAGGAAGTGAAGTAAGGTTACCCAGAGAAATCTTTTTAAGTTAGACTGTAAGGAATAGTGATACTTGAATGTTAAAGAAAGAGGGCAAATTTAAAATGGGTCATGGGAGTACAGTGAACTGATCCAGGACTTTGTGGACTGTCTGCAGAACCGCCTCCAGATCTATGTGGGGAAGACCAAAGAGCTGGTGGTGGAGTTTCACCTCAATAATAAACTGGACTGGTCAAACAACACCGAGGCACTTGACAAGAAAGGCCAGAGCAGGTTCTACCTGCTGAGGAGACTCAGGTAGTCTGGAGTGCAGGGGACACTCCTGAGGACCTTCTCTGACTCAGTGGTGGCAGCAGCCATTCTATGGAGTGGTCTGCTGAGGCAGCATCTCGACTGCAGACAGGAAAAGACTAGGCAAGCTGGTGTGGGCGTGCCACACCGTGCTGCTGGTTTAACTGGTAACTAACTGAGCTGTCTGTTAACCTGGAAGTGAATGGAGTTACCTGTTGGGTCTCTGCTCTCAGCCACAGTCAGGAAGTTGAAGACTGAAAACTTGTCCCTCTTTACCTTGGGCAGACCCACCACACTCGACCTGCAGAGCCAATCACAGTCATTTCCATTGCAGCTAAAAGTTGGTTAAATCTCCACAGCTGCTAAGTAGGATGATGATTGTTGAGTTTTTGATTCAGTGACATTTAACCACATCTTGTCTGATTTCAGTCTCAACTGTGTACCCGGGGTAGGGGTTGGGGACGTTGAACCTCTTGCAGAGCAGTTTGTCAGGATGCCACTCCAGTGTTTCTCTGGTCAGTTTTCCAAACATCTTCATCTTAATAGCAGCCTGCTTGTCATCCACGTCGCCCTAACAGAACAACCACAATGAATAACATATTTACCACCAGACAATTCACATATGATGTAAAGCAGTCTTTAGAGACCATCTGTAGTGCAGCTCCACAGTAAAATGCACATATTTTCAATGAGTAAACCAACAGATGTTTTTCACAACAGAAACTTGATGACCTGTAATGTAAGGGTTCTTACAAGTTCAGGTTAGGGGAAGCTCCAGGAGACACAAAGCTTAGTTTGTGGTGTGTTTGCCCCTTCTCAGGGCTGAACACCACCCTGACCGAAAACTCGAGATGCCTACTGCTGGATGGCAGTCTGGTTGTGTTGCTACAAGTCCAGACTGTTGGTCCTACCTCTACGTCCCGGTTGACCTCCACAGTGTCGTCGTCCTCCAGGTGTGTGGCTCTGGTGAAGCGGGAGGACAGTGAGGAGGAGGTGGGTCTGTACAGGATGGAGGCTCGGACAAACTCCTCCCTCTCTCTGCTGCGCTCCCACTCTGTCATCCCCGGGTCCAGACTCTGCTCGAGGGCATCTGAGGGGGTCATAGGGAGACAGAGAAGAGGTGTACGTTGAAGTCACCCTGCCTGGATCTCCATCCATTTTTGTCTGACAAGCTTATAATTCTGAGAGTCTATAAATGTCCAAATTCACTGGCAACTGACAAAGTTCATCTTTATAACAAAACATTTAATTTGTTTCTGACTTTGTCTCCACATCTTTATAGCAAACACGTTTATTTGTCTAGCCAAGTTGAGAAGGAGAGAGAAAGGAAAAATGTGGTGGAGGTCATTTTAATGCTCAAACAACAAACAAACAATAAAACTGCATCAGAGCCAATGTGGTCGACGGCAGGACAGAGACAGCCGATGACTCTGCCGGGCGTCATCTTGACTGAATTCACCACATAGCTGTTCTCATTTAGATATCTTCTTTTTCTAACTGAATGAATATGAAATAAAAAAAAAACATACTGGCTGTTAAGCATCAACCTGATGACATTTACTTTTGACACGACTGATCACCAAGACAGAGCTGATGAAATGCTGTCTTTTAACTCGCAGTGGTCCTGAGTCTCAGTGGGCAGCTTCAGTCTCAGTTCTCCATGCACACAGAGCTGCAGTTTTAAGACTTACACACTCTGGAGAGACTTTTAGTGATGTTGTGAGGTGAGGAAAACATCAGCTTAGTGTAAACGGATGGTTAAAATGGAGAGTGAGAAGAAAAGTTTTAATACAACCAGTTTAGTGGGGATGCTCTCCAATAAACCCTCTAACAAAGTTACAAGACAGTGCTGCATATTACAGTCATTAAACAGAGGTGCAGACACATGTTCCACAGGCCTGTAGGAGGTGAAAAACGCCAGCCAAACAGCCTGACATTTATGTGACTGCAGTGCATGGTGAGACATAGGACGGATCCTCCCACCTGTGTGTCCCTGTTTGAGGCGGCTCAGGTAGAGCTCGTAGCGCGCCTGTTTGCTCGGGTTCTTCTCGAACGGTTTGAAGGTCTGTGAGGAGGTCTGGATGCCTCTCCACGCCACCAGAGCCTCCTGCTGCTGCTGCTGAAGGCCGGAGCAGGCCGCAGGGCACGGAAGCAACGCTTCTGCCGACAGCTTGGCTGACTGCAAAGCTTCATGGGAGTCTGCAGTGTTGGTTTTGGTAGATTTGGAGAGGCTGAGCAGCCGCTGTCTGTCCTCAGGCCTTAGGAGCTCCATGACTGAACTGGGACCTGATCAGGGTGAAAACAGGAGGGAGAAAAGTGAATTTATCAGTTTAGGCCTCGACCTGCCTGATAAATCAGGGGGTCGGAGTGCTTTCCCTCCCTTGCGGGGCATCCTCTCCCAGCAGCGCCCTCCTCTGGCCGGAGTCCAGCTGGTGACGTCCCCCATGCTGGGGCTCCTCTGTGACCATGTGGCCCCTGGAGACCCTTAGGGCCTCAGCCAGGGCAGGACTGACACCAGAAAGACCCAGAACATCGACTGATGTGCGGAAACGATGGACCGGTCTGTAATCACTGGGCAAAGAGGGAGGAGGGAAGATCTACAGAGGCAGACACAAGTGTTAGTGGAGATTTCTGTGTGGACATCCACACATCAGAACTCATTTCAAAGCTGCTCACCATTTGCTCCTCGGCTGGTTTTTGAGCCAGAGTAAATCCCTCCAGGATTTTGCCGAGATATGATGCATCTTTGCTTTTGACTGGGAAGAAGAAAAAACATCAGTTTACCTTATTTTTCCAGCTTTCACTGAAAAACCAGTGCACAAGGATAAAGAGAGTTGCTCTAAAAACATCATCTGACTAAAAGCTTCATTATTTAAATGCTGTATATTGATGACATCCACAAACTTTCCAGGACTCCCCAGGCATTTTCCAGGCAGTGCTACCTCTTTTCTGGATGTACTGCTGTGGAGCTGTCCAGCCATACAGTCCGTCTCCAGGCTCCTCTCCTCCCAGCACCATGTCGTATCTGGACATGGAGTCTCTGTGGTACACATCTTCATCATCATCCTCCAGAGCCCCCACCCCGAATGCCTGTGGGTCAAATGTCACCAGTGGCACACAATATGAGGACATGTAGCTACTTATATTAAGAACCACCCAGATGTTAGCAATCCCACCTGTCCGGCCACTCCTCCTCTCCGCGCTCCTCCCTGTGTGTCTCCAAAAAGTCGACCTCTTGTCTCTGACTGAGGTCTGAACAGGTCTATGTGTTCAGGTTGGCCTCGCCCCAGCAGCGCGAGGCCCGGGTCCAGACCGCGGTACCCCAGACCCTGAACCCCTAGCCTGGGGCTGAAGTCCACCGGAGTCACATCCTTGGGGGCAAAAGTCACGTTCTCTGGAGCAAACTCCTCCTCCTCGTCCTATTGGGCAGAGAGGAGTGTTGAAACTCAGAATGTAATAAAAATGTAATACAAGCCGGTAATGTAATCTTTAATAATGTAATAACAATGGTGTGTGCAAACATGACACGTTTGTAACGTAATAAACTGCTTTACATGAGTGGTATCTATAGTTATTTGTGTGGAATATGAAATTATTGCAACCTTGAACAGTCTTATATGCAATATCTAAGGCACAATGTCTTTCAGTACAAAACACAAAAACATAGTGGAAATGTTCTGAAATGAAATGGTTTCACAATCTGTTTAATCCCTTTATGAAGCAGAACCACAATTGTCTATTTCCAGTTCCTCAACGTGAACATTTCCTTCGATTTCATATCACAGTAAAGTAAATAGCTTTGGGTTTCAGGGTGTTTGTCAGTGCACTTCACTTTGGGCTCTGGCACACTGGACATTGTTCACCGTTCAATAACATATGGACTCATCTCTTGTGAAAATAATTCTTGTTTGCAGTTTGAGATCAAAACCTGTATTATCTTTCAAGCCTCCGGTAACATGTTCACAGAAAAGGAAAAAGACTTCTGTGCAACAAACAAGAAAAACACAGCAGGAACCTTTATAAAGACTTTCTCAAGCCTGGTCCGAACCACAACAGGGTGGTTTTCAGTCCTCAATGTGTGTTTGGACCACAAGTTTTCAAACTGTGGCAGACAAAGAGTCAAAGACACTGTGAGGTGGAAGGGACAGGCACACGCAGGCGATATAAAACAACAGGAAGTTAGTGTGTCTGTGAGGCACCAGAACCTGCCGAAGAATCCTCCTGTTTTTGCAAGTGCCTGACTTTAAAAATTCCTGTTCTGGACAAACCCTAGGGCTGGTACGAGTTCTTTCACCCACCTCTGAGTCTTCTGAACCAGTAGGCGGCAGCACACAGCTGTAGACTTTAGCTCCACCATCTGTCAGGTTGGGAAAGACAGGGAGTTCTCAAAAATATGTTATGTTTATTACAAGTGATAAAAACAAAATCACAAGACTAGGTATACAAATGAAAACCGGTTCAGGCAAAGATAATCTCTATCAGTACACGTGGAAGCAAAACAAAAAAAGTTGGGTGAAAAACCAAGTTGCATGTTTATCTGTATAGCAGCCCTGCGTCATCAGTGAATTATACCAACACTCGGTTTTAGCTAAACATTAAAGCTGAAAGCAGCATTTTGCACTCATTAATTCACACCACCTGCTCAGCCAGAGGATTCATTCAGAAGGGCTGAATGTGAGTGTCTGGCCTTGTCCAGGTGTATTCTGGGACACAGTGAGGGATGGGACATGCAGGTAAACGATGGAGAAGTGAGTTAATGTGCAGGATGTCTAAAATGTTTCTGTGCACATTTTATTTACTGCACCATGGAAATGTACACAACACGCCTAAATCCAACCAGAGCTGCTGCTCTCGGTCGGACAACAAGCTACAAATGTTCTTCAGCAGAGGAGAGTGTGATGTTCAAAACACAGGTTTGGAGCGGAGTATGGCTTTTAGAGCAGCTGGAAACTGGATGTGAACTCAGACGTACCAGACCGCCGTCGGCAAGCTTTCCTCTTTACACGAGGCCCGACGCCCTGACCGTCCTTCCAGCCCATCTTTCTCAGCAGCTCCACCCCGATGGACAACCTGACAAATGAAAACACCACCCCTTAGAGGCGACTCTGGACACCACCAGCCACTCACATCAGGACTCCACTGAACTGTCCGACTTTCTAGCCACATCTCAGTCATTTATATTTCCCGAAACTATAAGATGGCCATTATGAACACCGATTTATTCCAGCACACAGTGTTGCAGCAAAGCTTCTTGGACTTCTATTATAAGACAAACTGTGAAAATCGGTGAGTTTTACAAGCCAACAGATGTTGATGTACATGCTTTGTGTCTTTTTTTTTTTTGAGGCAAACAGAAAGACCGCCCCAAAGCTTATCAAGGTTTCATCAGCCTATGACTAGAGTGAAGGTGTGTGAGTGCTGGCAGGTACCTGGCAGGTGCTATCAGCTCCTCCAGCAGAGTGTCTCCAGGGATCAGAGCAGTCTGAGCATTCACAGCTCTCGCCTTCTCTCTCAGCTCGTCTCTGCGGCCAGACGAAAACTCCTGACTGGTGGTGATTTCCCTGGGAGCGATGCCATGCTCACTGAAGTCCTGGCCCACAACAACAACCACCACCAATTTTTTTAAATTCTTTTGCTGCATTTAGTTTTGTTTTGCCCTCTGCCCCATCACACAGTTCCTCATCTTCTTCTTTTCTTACCTCTGCCAAGGGCAGGGGTGATGCTTATGCCAGCGGATATTAGTTACTTATTTAGTTTATTAGATTGTTAACAGCATAACTCAAAGAGTAATGATCAGATTTAGATGAAATGTGTTGGAGAAGTAGGGTACGGCCCACGGAACAATAGATTAGGATACAGATCAGCACCAAAATCTGCAAAATACAGGAATCTTTTTAAAGAATCTGGTTTGTAAAAAATCTCAATTCTTTTCCACCATTTACAACAGCACCTTGAACTGCAGTACAAAGAGCGTGTTAACTTTGTGCAGCTACTGCTGCCCTGGCCACGAGGCCTTTTCTACTGGAAAACTCCTCTGCCCTGAAAGAAAGCGCGCTGCGATCTTCATTTACGCACGGTGCGCTTGTGAAAAGAAGAGTGCAAAGATATGGCCCCTACGGCAGCAGTGGAACAAGGAGGCTTTTAAAAGCCTCTAAAAACTATTGGCCTAAGATACCAGTTGCCCCATTGTGACTATTTTGCAGTAGAAGCACTGCCAGAAATGTACACTGCGGTCAGACAGCCTCATGACCGACTTGTAAAGGGGCGACAGTGGTGCGGTGGGTGAGCAGCCGTCTCTCAACTGGAAGGTTGGAGGTTCGAATCTCAGTGCCTGCATTCCACGTGTCGAAGTGTCCTTGGGCAAGACACTGAACCCCCAAGTTGCCCGTGATGGTGGCACATATGCACGCAGCGGCCTGGGACCCTTGGCTCCAAACAAAATTTCGTTGTACGTGTCACAATGTTACAATAAAATAAAGCTTCTTCTAAAAGTGACTGATCTCACACTGACAACCAACGTGTGATAGGAAAGACATGAGAGCCATATGCGAGATGACAGTACTCTTCACTGAAGACACCATCTATCCATTATCCTCTTCTTATCCAGGGTCGGGCAGCAGGTTCAGTAAGGTGGTCCAGACGTCCATTGTTCCATTACTGCTATGCTGCCCCTATCTGCCTGTCAATCCCATGTTTCATTTTACTCTCACTCGTGAACAAGAACCTGAGATACCTAAACAACTTTACTTGCGGCAGCAACTCACTGCCAACCCCACTGAAGACTGTAAGATGAAAACTGCTCATCAGCTAATATTCCCAAGATCACATCAGAGAACTTATAGCTGAACCCTTGCAGGATGCATTTACAAACTGGAAGCTTGACAAAAAGGGACCGGTTCCTACAGCAGCCAACAACAGAAGCAACACAGTCACCACGGTGGAACTGAAGAGGTGGCCGAGGATCCGCTGACTCCACCTAGCCACTGGTGAGTGCAACGTGTGCTGTCCTGACTGGGGACAAACAGATACCAGGCCTGTAGGTTTTATTAAAACTATTTGTGACATCTCACATGTGCTTTTGACTTACAGCTGAACATTTAGCCCACTGCGTAAAGAATACCAAGATATATATCGTGTATTGCCAGTCAGCCTAAAAACACTGAGATATGACTTTTGGTCCAGATCACCCAGCCCTACGAAGAAATGACAAATTTCCCCAAATGTCTGAAATGTAAAACCCACGACTCCATGACAAGCACTAGAGTGTTTGGGGGTAACTGAATGAAAATCGTGCAGTACCTCTTCATCCATGAAGTCTTCCGGTCTGGCATGTTGTTTCTCAGCTTTCTGCTGCCGTGACGACATAAATGTTGACGGGGCCCAGCCTAAAACACAACACTACATAGTCACACAAACAGTGGCTTTAACAGCTGCAAGCAAACAGACATGCCATTAAACCGACACTGACACTTGAGCAAGAGAAAAGTGAAGATATTTCTTTTACACATCAGTTTACACATTTAGCTTTTATTTTTAAGTAACCGGTAGTGATCAAATGACCACACAATCCCATCAGTATGAAATTAATCACTGAAAAACTCCATAAACAATTCAGGTTTTCTCTTTTCTTCAGGAAAATCACCAGTGGTGGAAGAAGTACTCAGGTCCTTTATTTAAGTAAAAGTAGAAATAACTCAATGTAAAAATACTCTGTTACATGTAAAAGTCCATTCAAAGTTTTATTTAAAAGTGCAAAAGTGTTAGCATCAAGTTATCGCTAAAGTAGCACAAGTAAAAGTACTCATGCTACAGAATGACATGTCACCTTAACGTCTCTGATACTACTGGATCATAGTGACTGATGCATTACTGTGTTCATCACTTTAATGTTGCAGCTGCAAAAGGTGGAGCTGATGTTAACTACCTGTACTGAAAATGAACCGAGCCATGATTTTTGTGTACTGTGACACCCCTAATCTCCCACTGAGTCGTTTAGATAAGTAAATGATTGGCTAGACTGGTGTTGGCAGCAAAGATTTTGGTTTGGCAGGCTGCCACGGGGAAATGTTACCAGCCAAAACATCCATCCATCCATTTTCTAAACCGCATAGTCCCAAACGGGGTCACGGGGGGCTGGAGCCAATCACAGCCAGCTGCGGGCGAAAAGCGGGGTACACCCTGGACAGGTCGCCAGACCATCGCAGGACCAACACACAGACGAACAACCACTCACACACACAGGCACTCCTACGAGCAATTTAGAGACACCAATCAACCTATGCTGCAGGTCTTTGGACTGTGGGAGGAAGCCAGAGCACCCGGAGAGAACCCACGCAAGCACGGGGAGAACATGCAAACTCCGCACAGAAAGGCCCCAGGTTGGCAGAGGCTCAAACCCAGAACCTGCTTGCTGCGAGGCAACAGCGCTAACCACCGCGCCACCGTGCATGGTTTCTATTTATCTATATCTTCCTATATTACTGCTGATGCAAAGTAAAACTGTTTCTAGTTGGTGTGTTGCAGGTGAAGGAGAAGGATCTCTCTGCAGAAACACACTACAACCAAGCTGAGTGTTGTTCCCTTCAGGTCAGCAGGTGAACCAGGTGTTGTAATGCAGCTGCACTCACCTTCTTTAGAGCCGACAGTGTTGAAATAACCAGCAGAAAACCCTCCAGTGAACGCTCCATGGAACCTCTGGTATCGTCCCTTCTCATCTTTTACTGTTTGCTCATGGAGCGGGACGGGCTTCTTCAGTGGCTCATCTTCAGGTACAGAAAACATGTTAAAAAATATTTTGAGTAAAAACAAATATTAGCAGCAGAATGTACATGTACAAAACTTAAAGAACTTGGTGAGGTTTTATTACTGTAACTACAGTACTCATTAGCTGAAATTATGATTAACTATAAGTCAATCCAAAAAATTACAGTACTTTGATTACAGATTAGTCAGTTTTCATATAAAATGAAAAGGGGGAGGAGAGGAGAGGAGAAGAGAGGACAGGAGAGGCGCTCAGCACCATGGGACGACCCTCAGCCTACACCTATAACTAAAGTATGGTACACCAAACCATGCTTAATCTTCTTCTTCTTTCGGCTGTTCCCGTTAGGGGTCGCCACAGCGAATCATCTGTTTCCACCTAACTCTATCCTTGGCATCCTCTACTCTTACCCCAATTAACTTCATGTCCTCTTTTAGCACATCCATATATCTCCTCTTTGGCCTTCCTCTTGACCTCTTGCCTGGCAGCTCCATCTCCAACATCCTTCTACCAATATAACTGCTATCCCTCCTCTGCACATGTCCAAACCATCTCAATCTGGACTCTCTGACCTTGTCCCCAAAACAGCCGACCTGAGCTGTCCCTCTGATGTGCTCATTCCTAATCCTGTCCATCCTGGTC